CCCCAAAACCCCAAAACCCCAAAACCCCAAAACCCCAAAACCCCTATTGAATAAGGAAAAATTGAAAAATTCAATATAATTGAAAAACAAGATGGCTGATAATCCAAGAATTCAATTTCCAGAAATGGCAAATCTTCCCGAAAATACTGGAGATATTAATGCAGCCTCACATTTTGACCCTGGAGTTCCACAGCAGAAGCCAATGGGAAATGCTCCCGTTCGGGATAATAGGCTGCAGCAAAGACAGAATGGGATACCCTCAAATATGCCTGCAGCACCTGCTGCTGCCCCTCCTATGAACAACGTTCCTCCTGGGATGAGAAACCAGAGTAAGTCGTCTTAATTTTAATGATATTTTAGATCAATTAGCCCAGAGTATGCCTCAAATGCCAACAGTCGGAAATCAGCGTTTAAATGGTGGACCTCAGAATAACAATAAAACAGGAGGTGGGCTTGACTTCAGAGATGATGCTTCCAGAGTCTCAATGTCAAGAATGAAAAGCTCTTACGGAGAAGAGCTTAAGAAGCAGATGGAGGCAGACAAGAGGAAGAAGAGAAAAAGCAAAGAAAGAGACCTTGATGAGGATGTCGACTTCCTCCAAGAATCTTTCAATTATCAACCATTCGGAAAGGGTGGTGCCGGAGCTCCGTTAAGAGATCAGTTTGGAAATATGATCACATCGAGAAAGCCTCAGATGAGAGGAGATCATGAGAGGCAGCATTTTAAGAGATTTCTTAACAAAAGTTCAAGAGGAAGTTCAAGAGCTAGTAGAAGGAGCATGCATGGAAGAAAGAATCATACAACTAGAAATGATAGGTATGATGAGTTTGAAGATGACGATGATTATGGGGCAGAGCCAGACTTGATTGCAGCAGGTCCTATTAGCAATACTACAGCTCAAACAGCAGCACAAATGGCGAGTAACCGCTTCTTTAAGCCAGACTATATTGTTAACGTTGAGCCCAAAAAGCAGAAGAAAGCTCCAAGAATGCCTGCAATGCAGGCTCCAAGAGCAGCAGAGCCTCAACCTCAGCCCCAGCCTCAAGTGAGCTATCAGATTGTGCAGCCCCAAGTAGATTGGGCAGCTTGGAGAAACGAATTATTTGCTTTGCTTCAATGGGAACGTTGGCAAAGAGAAGAGGAAGAAAAACGGAGAAAATACCAGTGGATGAACGATGAAGAAAAATATAAAAACGAGCGAGAAGCCATGGAAAGAGGATTTCAGAGAGATCTTGAAGACCGGCGTCGACAATTCATGGATATCCAACAAGAAAATTTAGAAAGAATGCAAGATTACTGGGAGCACAGACATGATGAAGAAATGAGAAGATGGGAAGAAATGATGGCTCATCCCAGGTATGTTCAATATCTTGACAGAGATAATTCTGTCAAGCTATCTCAGGCCTTCGTTGATCAACTAGGATCTACAATGAGACTTGAGTTAGATAAAATCAAAGGGAATATGGATGAAAGAGATCTAGAACTTTTGAAGCAAATCGCTTCACTTAAGAAAGATGCCACAGTTGCTGATCGAGAAAGATTTGATTCACTGGCTGAAGTTGATAGAATGAGAGGTGAACTTGAGAACCAGAAAGCTCTTGATGGAATAAGGCATAAATATGTGTATAATACTTTACTGTGGGATAAATTAATGGACCATAAAATGAGGTACCCTGAATGAAAACCTAAATATAAGGATTTTGATTACAGTAAAAAGTATGCTGTTGAGAAGTCGATAGTAGACTCCATTCCAACAGTTCCAGATGGAGAAAAATTTAAGCTAGATAGTCTTGACAAAGAAAGAATTAAAATTGACGATATTAATCAAAGAAGTAATGACTTTTTAGCCCAAACTATTAATGACAAAGCTAGAGTTGAATTGGATAAACTTGATTCTGATTTATTTAAAAATGCAGGCTCAAAGACATATCGGGATGCTCATGATGCCTACTCTCGGATGGGAGGACTCAAAACTGGAGAACATCAAGTAAATTACAAAGAATTCTAAGAAAGTCAATATTTATTTTAAAATGCATTTCAACTTGGTCTATCTCACAAGGGGTTTTGGGGTTTTGGGGTTTTGGGGTTTTGGGG